AAAGGTAGACTATAACTTTTTGGTTTATGTTATTGCTTTGCCTGGAATGTTCCCTTGGGTTTTCTATCTAGCCTTTATTAAATTAGAGGTGTTGCACTGCTCAAAAATACCTTGAAAAATATGCATTCTTATTATAATTATTACGCCTCTCCACAGATTTGCTTGTAACTTGGCCTGGTGTTGTCTAAGTTTAAATATATTATGCAGAACTGATTCTTATGAGTTTTAAGCCATGTTACACAATTGTGACCTCATCAAAAACAGACCTGGAATTGTGTTTTGTTTCAATCTTGCATTATTAGTCTGTCATGAAGTGATAGTTTTCAAGTTCACAATTTAGGCCCCATCCACACTAGTACGTATTTGAGTAATTTTCGTTGCAGATGCAGTGTTTGTCTAGCCAGGCTGGTGCCACCTAGTGCCTCTGTTCAGTTTCATTTCTCTCCAGCGACTAGGTCAGGAATCAGAATACACTAGAAGGTTTGCAAAAGATCTAGAAGTGCGAGAATTAGCGAAGAGCCATATATTCTGTGTTGGCAACAATTCTTGAGATTGAGGATTTAAAGCTGGAACAAAAAGAATGTTTGGTGAATTTTATCAAGAGGAAAGATGTTATTGCCCTTCTTCCTACAGGATTTGGGAAAAGCTTAATATACCAGTTTGCTCCATTAGTGGTGCATTACATATGTCATGACCAAATAACAGCGATTGGTTAAATAAAGAAAGTACCAGTCTACCATCGAGAACGAATTCTAACGCTTCAAGGTCAAACACTTCGTAGAAACCGGCTGATGAATCAGGCTGGTGTTTGTCCACACTAATCCGATGGAAAATGGCTCCAGAGACAGAACGATCTGGTGCCACCAGCTCCCACAAATTCATCTGAGTATGGATCTGATCCAGCACTGTGTGGTCGCCTGAAAACGTTGATATGCTGACGTAGGAGCTCTAGTTGCGTCCTTATTGAACCACGTCACTGTGACTTGCACCTTCCTGATTGGTTGGGTTCGTGACATTGGTCAGGTGACGCTATTAACAAATTTTAACAGTTTAAAAAAAACATAGACAAACGGGAAACAGCGTAGCTACAACTACTTGCTAGTAGGTCATGAAAAACAAGGAACAACCTTGGATGTCTCTGCTCTCTCATGTTGCAGTTAGTGCAGCTCACTGACGCACTTCACAGAACTACTACGACATCCACAGTGAGAAGTAGACAGATTCTGTAAGCCATCTCCAATATGAATACCCAGCAGCTGCAGCAATGCAAGTTGTACATGGAGCGCCGCTTTTGGGTTAGGCCGGGAAGAAGCCGTGCTTGATGGGACAATTGTTATTGCTGAAGAATGGCATGAAAACTTCCAGATGTCCAGATCAAATGACAACAGAAATGAGAGCACCCATCAACGTTTTCTTTTTATTCAGTGAGTAGTGGGAATTCCAGGGCTGAAATGGAAATGATTCTAGTGAAGGTGTGTGGAGTTTAAAAACACGGTGGAGCACTTCCTGTATTACCACATGACATCACAAGGTGGAGTGCTTTCAGCCTTTGCAGGATTTGTGTGAATAAAATAAAACAAAACTCTGGGTATGTTTTTGATGAGGAAAACATTATAACATAGATCAAAAAATGTTGAAGTATGGGCCCTTATAGTAATTGCCATACTCTGAAACACCCCAGAAAGCAATAACATCTCCACGAAGAAAAGCTGATGATGACCTTCCACCAGAAAAGTTACATAGTGCACCTTTAACTGAAGCTCAAATGATCTTGTAGTAAATGAACCTAAAATCGTATAGTTTGTCACACACTACAGATTCTTTTGTAGTCCTCCATGACAGTACATTTTGTGGTACTTGAATTTTTTAGTCTACAATAAGAATCAACCACCGGGACCATTTTCAGAAGAGCAGAACTGAAGTTTGTTGCATTATTGACAGAGCTCACCGCCCACTCTGAGCCTCACTCACTCTCGCTCCTTTTGCCATGCTATTGAAATGCTAATGCAGGTTTAGACACAAACTCCAAACTTCTTATATTGTTCTTCTGCCCACTCAAGATCCTTTTTTAGCTTACAAATGTTGCCAAAGTATGACATTAGATCACCAAGATTATTTTAGAGTGGCTAGTATCTGTCAGGCACTTTGGATCTGGTATAGTCCTGGGTTAGACTTGGTTTAGTCCTGGTATAGTCCTGGGTTTGATCTATTATAATCCTACATTAGACTTGGATTAGGTTGGACCTTTAGTTCTGGGTTGTTAGACTCGGTTTAGTCCTGGGTTAGACCTGGTTTAGTCCTATTTTAGACCTGGGTTAGACCTAGGTTAAGTCTGGATTAGTCTTGTTAGACCTGGTTTAGACCAGGGTTAGATCTGGTTTAGTCCTATGTTAATCCTATCTTAACCCTGGTTTATTTCTGGTTTAGTCCTATTTTAGACCTGCGTTAGTCCTGAGGTAGATTTAGTATGGTTCTAGGTTAGACTTAAATTAGTTTTGGGCTGGGTTGGACCTGGTTCTTTAGTTCTGGGTTAGACCTGGTTAGGTAATGGTTTACTCCTGGGTTAGTTCTGGTGTAGGCCTGGTATGGTTCTTAGATTTGTTCTGTGTTGGATCAGATTCTTGAGTTCTGGATTAGAGCTGAGTTAGTTCTGGTTCAATCCTGAGTTAGACCTGGTTTAGTCCTGATCACTCCCTCGCTGGAAATGTAAAATGTATCAGGCAGCTCCGAAGGCTAGTGAAAATACTTTATTTTCATGTTATTGAAATGGTAACGTTAATGCTGTTGTATTGATCTTGTATTATGTAAAACTGACTCTTGTGAGCGTGTTATAATGTGGTGTTATGTATTGTTTTGTGTTACCTCATCAAAAACAGACTGAGTTGAGTTTTGTTTCATTCACACATGTCCTTTATTATTAGTCTGTTTTCATTTCCAAAGCTCAAAAGGCTCTGTTCCACCTTGTGATGTCATTTAGTGGTCGTTTTTAAATTAACAGCTACTTTTTACTTTTAGTTAACATTTTTTTAACAGACAGGATTGCATGGTTGGTATAAATGTGCTCTACAGCCGCTGAAAATGCATTTGCACCAATAAAAAATTTAAATGCTTATAACTTTGGCATAGAACCTGATAGAGCCAAGATTCTAAATGTATTTTGTACAGGTCCATAAGCTCTACTTGCAGAGCAAATATGACATTGATATCTCTTGTAATTTCCCCACAATTTAAGTTGATGCAATGCAAATGTGTCAAAAGCCCACCACCCACACCCCCCACCCCATGGTGTTCCCAGCTGAGAGACATAGTCCCACCCGCGTGTCCTGGGTCTTCCCCAGGGCCTCCTCCCGGTCGTTCATGCCCAGAACACCTCTCAAGGGAGGCGCTCAGGAGGCATCCAGAACAGATGCTCCGAGCCACCTCAGCTGCTCCTCTCGATGTGGAGGAGCAGCGGATCTACTCCGAGCTCCTCCCACGTGACTGAGCTTCTCACCCTATCTCTAAGGGAGCGCCCAGCCACCCTGTGGAGGAAACTCATTTCAGCCACTTGTATCCATGATCTCGTCCTTTCGGTCATTACCCAGAGCTCATGACCGTAGGTGAGGGTGGGAACGTAGACCGACCGGTATATTGAGAGCTTTGCCTTTCAGCTCAGCTCCCTCTTCATCACAACGGTCTGGTACAGTGACCACATCACTGCCGACGCTGCACCAATCCGCTTGTCAATCTCACGCTCCATCCTCCCCTGAGATACTTGAACTCCTCCACCTGAGGCAGGGACTCTCCACTCGGAAAGGGCAAGCCACCTAGTGAAGCTGTAGGAAGTTTAAAAACACAGTGGAGCACTTCTTGTATTACCACATGACATCACAAAGTGGAACAGAGTGTTTTTGTGTTTGAGAGAAGAACTCATCCTTAATATACAGGGTTTGTGTGTTAAACATTTGTGAATGAAATAAAAACACAAGGTATGTTTGTGACGAGGGAACAACATTTAACATAGATCAGAAAATAATGTAATATAGACCCTTTCAAGAACATAATATATATTTTTTTCTCTTTCTCAACAGATTTCTAAGACGATTTCATCACATTTTTATCATCATGTTTGGAAGTAATAACTCTTCTCCTGTCCCACCTCTGAGCCCCACCTCTCCAGACCCTCCACTGACCAGGGGCTCCTCCCAGAACCTCCCCCCCGGCTCACCTCCACCCTGCTGGGCCACTCAAGCACGCTGCGACCTGGCCCGGGCCGAAACCGAACTACGGCGCCAGCAAGACCGCTACAAGGCCGAAATTGACACCGTGAAACGCGGGGTCGAGCGGGCGATACTGGGAGCGCGTAGGGAAGAGCGCCGCCTGGTGGAGAGAGTAGAGCAAGACCACCGAGACGCCCAACGCCACCTCGAACAAGTGCAGCGAGAAAATCTAGCTGCGGTGAGAGTGAGCCAAAGTTTGCTGGAAGAGAGGTTACGCAAGCTGGCGAAACTTCAACAACAGATTCAAGATGGCGGACAAAGCAGCGTGAGCCAAAGTGTGTTGCTCAAAGAGGTTTCTGAGTTTCTGCAACCGTGGGAGATATCGGTTTCCATCAAAAAAGTCAATTTCAAACCTAGCTCGCTACCCAATGCGGTCAGTTTTGGAGATATTCGCGTTCAAGAGCAAAATCTGTGCTTGCACGTTGGCGGTTGCGGGCCAAAAGGGCAAATGTGTGCGATACACTCACAAGAAATTCAAAATAATGACAATTTTGCACATCAAGCGACAACCGAAGAGCTAAAGGGACACGAATGGAGCTCAAATTCAGGTAGAGTCGCCAAAAAGATCAGCATTACCACGGAAACCCAAACAAAACCTCCCAAATCCTGGAAGTACGAGCAGCCCGAATCGGAGGCCGCCAGGGCACGAATCCGTCTTCCTACGCTTCTAAAACGAATCGAAACAAACAGCGCACACTACTCGCCGAAGAATCAAAGAAAAGGTTCACCGTCACCGGAGCACACCAAGTTAACGCAAAGTCGCAGTTTTGATAGTCAAGACAGCACCAGCGGCAAGTAAGTCCAGACAGCAGACTTTTGAAATACAATAGCTCATTAGCGTCACCGAGGATTAGTCCGAGGGAGCCGTTGATCAGCCAAAGTTGCTTAGATTTAACATCGCGCGGTAGACCACACTCATGCCTTAGCCAGTCTTCAGATGACCACTCATTGGCGACTCTTTGCGATTCCGGTAGAGCGCTTTCCCCGACGGACAGTTTAGATTCAAGCTATACGTTTATTGTAAGTTCGGCGAGCGAGCACAGCAAGTCATCTTTAAATTACAATTACCGCTTGTCAAAATCAGCGGTGGATCTATCTCGAAAAACACGACCAAATGGCAAAGTAGATGAGCAAGAGAATGTCTGGAAGATGGGTTCTAGAGATTACAGTTCAATGTCTGGAAGTGGTACGATTGGTTCAAGTGCGACTAGAAGATTTGGGGAATTTGGGCAAAGAAGTTCATTTGGTTCGCAAGGAAAGGAAAGGAAAACCGCGAATCTGCAACCGCTGGTTTCGAGGTCATTGTCGATGTCCGTGATTGATGGTTCATCCGACGGAGGAGTGAGGAGAGAGAAAGGCCAACCTGCGCTAAGAGAGACGGAGGAGGATGAAGGGGAGATGAGTTTTGGGCAGAGTGGAGTGCGTTTGGTGAGGCAGTTTGGGAAGCAGGGGTGTGGGAGGTCCGATCTGACGTTACCCAGTGGGATCCATGCCACTCCACAAGGGCAGCTGTTTATAGTGGACTGTGGAAACTCTCGCATTCAGGTAAGAGCAGTGACCGCAGACAGACTTTAAAGGTCCATAGGCACTATTCACAGTTACGTCACAAACCAGGAAGACGTTTGGAAAGATGCCATGACAACTTTCCACGCCCAGTTTTCTTCATCTACATGTCATTGTAGTGTTATGTTCGGCTAATCAACAATTACAACCATACCTCAGTTTTCATCATTTTCCCACTCACACAACTCTGAGTGCACTGGGTACATGTGATTAGAAGAGATGAGGCGCCAAATTCAAGGTGATTCCAAACACCACATACATATGCAGTCTTCATTTTACTGCTGATCACATTTACTTCAGTGGGTTTTATCACAGTCGGACAGTGAGTCCAGTGTCGGGACCTACACTGGAAGTTGTAATCACATCTATCCAAACGTCTTCCTGGTTTGTGACGTAATGTGAATAGAGTCTATTACGCAACATTGACTGTGTGAGCTTTATGTCATGTTACTGTTGTTACCTCATTATAATCATGCCTGGAGTATTTTTTTGTTTCAGTCACATGTTTGAGTAATCTGCATTATTAGGTTGTAAACATTTCCAAAGCTCAAAACACTCTGTTCCACCTTGTGATTAGATGAAGTGGTTGTTTTCAACCTGAATTCTGAATGATTCTAACATCTTGGTTTTTTTTTAAAGACAGATAGCTGCAAGCCTAGAGGCCCAAACATGTCAACTAGATAAATACATCTCATATTGTATTGTCTTTAAAAAGAACCCAAGAAGTTAATGGATAAAAGAAGATTATTTTTGGATTACCAAATGATTATAGTGATGGTGTATGAAATTTAAAAAATACAGCTTAAAAAAAAAAAAGTTGTTATAAACAAAACCAGAGAGTTGCAGCAGTAGAGCCCTGCTTATCACCAGTGAAACGGATAAGCAAAAGAATAACATTTCCATGAAGACAAGTCAGTGGCAGACCTTCCACTTTTAACATGATAAAAATATGTCTATGCAAATACATGTTGAATTTTAAACAAAATATGAAACAAGTCAAGTTAGGGAGGGCGGCGCACTTGTGCCCAGGCACCAATGGGTGTAATGCTAATGTAGGCACAACAATGTCTGAAGCTCTGTTACTCAAGAGACTCAAGACTTTAATCTGAACTTTATTTTAACACAATCTGGGCAGAAAAAACAGACTTACCGTATTTTCCGCACCAGTCGAACCAGCCAAAAACTGTGTAATGAAGAAGAAAAAACATACAAGTTGCACTGGACTACAAGTCTCACTTTTTGGGGAAATTTATTTTATAAAATCAGAGACCAAGAACTGACATTTTATCTTGAAAGGAAAGTTCTAGTAAAAACAATAGAAGAGAGAACAACAGACTGTTAACGTCACATATGAACAGTTCTTCAGATAAACTATAACATAAACAACAGAACAGAACAAGTTTAACAAACTCTCCATCTCACTCCAAATCACTAAATCCATTCAGTTCTTCATCCTCTTGTCACTTCTGAGCAACTCCACAACCTCTGGAGGTAAACAGAGCGCCGCTTCCTCTTCTGTGTAGCTGTCGTCAGACTCAACATCAGTTCCAGTTAGAATTATTCCGGTCTTTCTGAATCCTGACAGGATGATTTTGGTGACACTGAAGTCACTTAAATGTTAAATTGTTCAGTGGTACAGAAATAATGGTGCGCTCGACTGACTTGATACAAACAGGACAGAGGCTCTTTCTGCAGGAGACATGTGCAGTAGAGTGAAGTGACAGTGGTACAGGAGGAACAGGAGCAGCAGATACTCACACACAAGACTAGAACCTCTTGTGGCTTCACTGTGAACATTTTAATATATAAGTCACACTGGAATATAAGTCGCAGGAAACACCCAAACCATGAAAAATGTGCATTTTATAGTCCGAAAAACACGGTAGTTGGAACTACAACAGGTGAGCTGATTTGTGTTGTTAAACAAGTGTCTCACACATAAAATCACAAGCTCGAAGTCTTTTTTGTTGAAAATCAAACACCTAAACAAGACCATGAACACATCATCACGGAGTCCTAAAATGTGTTGCCTAAATCCATTCCAAATTGTATTTTTTCTTGAATTACAGACTATAGTTAAACATTTTTTTTCACAGTATTTGCATTTTGTCACTATGGTAAATGTTTAACATTCCTCCAATAGAGGTACATGTAGAACACCCCCAGTGTGATGTCACTGAAAACTATCAACTGATCAAACTGTGTTTTTTCCCCGTATCCAGGTAACGGACTCCCGCGGCAACGTCCTCCAGCAAATCGGCCCCTCTTCTCCCTCGACACTTCGTAAATGCAGGAACTACTTTGACATCGCCGTGAACTCCAAAGGCCTCATCGCTCTGAGCTGTGCAGCCGAACGCGCCCTTCACATCTACAATCGCCACGGACGGCTGCTCCAAACATACGGCGGCGCCAACCAAAACTCAAACAAAGACGAATTAGAAGCTCCACGCGGGGTTACCGTCACACGATCTGATGAATTTCTGGTGGCAGACATACGTAAAGGGACTCTTATAGCGTTAAAACTGGAGCCAAAAGCTGCGTGCCGTATTGAGAGAACCGTAGTGACGGGTTTTCACAGACCGTACTTAGTAGCAGCTTGTTTAATTTCAGGATTAATCGCTGTTTCAGAAAGAGGGAGTGAAACGGGCAGAGTACCATGTGTTAAAATTTTAGCACCAGATTGGAACACGATAAGGATTTTGGGCGTATGTGCAGGTATGGGTCCTGTGCTGCTCTCTCCATGGGGAATTTGCATAGACAGAGACGGAAATGTGCTAGTAGCTGATTGGGCCGAACAAGGACATAGAATTGTGTTGTATCCGAGCAGAGGAGTGGGGCAACCCATTATAACAGAAGGGCTAAGCAGTCCCAGAGGCTTAACAATACTACCAGAAGGGCATATGGCTGTTTCTGACAGCATGCACCACTGTGTAAAGATATTTCGGTACAAGAATAATCAAGACTGAAATCGATTATGGCCAGTGTTGGGAGTAACACGTTATAAAAATATTGAATGTAATGCATTGCTTTTTGAAGTAACACAGTAATGTAAGGCATTACAGAGGAAAAAATTGTCATATTTTACTCGGTACAAATGTCAGCAACGCGCACTACAATGCATTTTTAACCTGGATTGAAATGGTGTTTTTTTTTTATTTTTCTTCATACAAATTTATTAAAATCACCACAATATCAGCAGCGGTGAAATGTCATTGTTATGGTTCCGAATGTCAGGATGAGTCCGGAGGTGCGCCCGCGTAGACCGTTGGGTAACCGCGGGCGAAAGGACCGGCGCAGAGCTAAGTGCAGGCGACACCCAATCGTGCTTTGCAGACACCCTGCTCCACGAGCTCAGGGTTCTCTCAGGGGCGGTCCTAGATTCCAGTTCCTTGTTTGAGATAAGTCCTGGTTTGGTCCCTGGTTTAGACCTGGTTCAGTTCTGGTTTAGTCCTGGTTTAGACCTGGTTTATTCCTGGTTTAGAACTGGTTTAGTCCTGGTTTAGACCTGGTTCAGTCTCGGTTCAGTCCTGGTTTAGTCCTGGTTTAGTCCTGGTTTAGACCTGGTTTAGACCTGGTTCAGTCCTGGTTCTGTCCTGGTTCAGTTCTAGTTTAGACCTGGTTTAGTCCACATACGGCACAAAAAATCGGCATCATGGCACAGTTATTTTGGTGAGAGTAACTTAAAGTGCTGTAATAGTCGTGTAATGTCTTACATTTTAAATGCAGTAATATTGTAATGTAATGAATGACTTTGAAATGACAGTAACAACTCATAAATAACACATTAGATTTTTGAAGTAACTTGTCCAACAGTGATTATGACACAATGTTCTGGTTAGTAGGTGGGGTCGTCTTAACAAATCTGGCATATTAATGTAATAGCCAAAACATAGATTGTATATAGACATAGTCCACTATCCACAGTGTTCCAAATAGGAAGTGAGCGTGGGTGTGCTTCCGGCTCCATCAACTCTGGCTCCAATTCACTTTGTACTGTAAAAACATCACCCCTCACTCTGTAACTGCTCCTCATTTTGCTCTTAAAATGTTTATATTAACCCACTCCTAGTGTTATTGATGTTTTTATTTCACTATTTTGTAGATCAGTTCCTATTCCTAATATTGAACTCAGACCCAAATTCGTTCCTATAACTGCCAGCAGCAGTGAGCTTCACTTGACTGGAGCTGAATGCTATGGATGACATCACACTCCCTTAGTCCATTTTTACACAGTCTTTGGACAAAAACCTCTTTCAACCGACAACAATCAGGTCTTTGGGGTTGAATAATTGCACCACTTTCTGAAGCAATTATGAAAACAACTTGATGCCAGTTTTTGTTTCATGTGGATATTTTTGTTATTCATTTATTTTATATACATACATACTGTACTTTAGGGTTTTCATATTCAGTGACTTGGTTTGGTGGGATAGTACCTGTGCTAAATATGTATCATACTTTTACATCAGTTAAGTGGCAATTTGTGAAAAAAAAAAAAAAAGAAAAGGGTTAGTCAGTTTCTGGCAGTTTAAACCTTTTACCCATTTAACTAAATAAATGTTACAATGGCACAAAATCAAAACGATGGTTGCTTGGTAACAGTCAGTGTTGGGGAGTAACAGATTACATGTACCGGAGTTACGTAATCAGAGTACAAATTATGAGTAACTGTATTCAGTTACAGTTACTGTTTCAGTGAGTGGTAATTGGATTACAGTTACTTTGTTGAAATAAATGGATTACACAGAGGGATTTTCCTGCTTTCACATTTGGGGCTACAACCCTCCCTTCTTTTTTTTTCAGTAATTCCACTCTTTGCCGGACACTAAACCAGGTCTAAACCAGGACTAAACCAGGACTAAAGCAAGACTAAAACCAAGGACTAAAACCAGGACTAAAACCAGGTCTAAAACATGTCTAAAACAGGTCTAAACCAGGTCTAAATCCAGGTCTAAAACCAGGTCTAAAACCAGGTCTAAAACAGGTCTAAACCAGGACTAAACTAGGACTAAGCCAGGACTAAGCCAGGACTAAAGCAGGACTAAAACCAGGCCTAAAACTAAAACCAGGTCTAAACCAGGTCTAAACCAGGTCTAAACCTAGGCTAAAGCAGGAACTAAACCAGGACTAAAACCAGGTCTAAACCAGGTCTAAAACCAGGTCTAAACCAGGACTAAACTAGGACTAAACCAGGACTAAAGCAGGACTAAAACCAGGTCTAAACCAGGACTAAAACAGGATTTAACAGGACTAAACCATGCCGTGCGGACTGTGTCTCCTCCTTTTCTATCAATAATATTTTTAATTTGGTTGAGTAAAATCTGGTCTTTTTATTTTCTTTTAGCAGACAAAACATCTTATGTGAAGATTTCCTCGTCTTTGCTTCTCTACAGCAAATCAAGTAATCCAAAGGATTACGTTACTCATTTTAAGTAATTTAATGGATTACGTTACACAACATTTTGGGGTATGTAATCTGTAATCTGTAGGGGAATACATTTTAAAAGTCACCTTCCCAACACTGGTAACAGTTCTGGCATTACCTCTGCATGTGTCATATCTGCCGTCCATGTCCAACCAGGAAGTCAAACTTGTGATTAACCACAGTTAATACATTTGATTCATCTCAGTTAGGATCATAACCTAAAATTTAAGACAATGTTTTTGGTCAGAAAACGTGTGCATCAGCAGCCTCGTACTGTGGCCCACACATTTGTATGGGTGCTGGATGGAAAAGGCTCTGCTCCTGTCACAGGAGGAGCACACTGTTTCTTTATGATCTGTATGTTTAATGTACAGAAGTAGTGGTTTCACACAAACAATGTAAAAAGGACTGTGTATGCTGTGAAGAAATAAAAACTAATATTAATGTGTCCTGTCTTTTCGATTTATTATTTATCACTGGCCAAAGCTGCTGATTGATGGAAACACGGCTGCCAGTGATGACAGGTTATACACACTTATAGTTTAAATTAAAGCAAATTAAAGCATATTCATAAAACTAAATAAATTAAAAAAGTCCTGCTCTGTTACTCAAGTTATACTTTAATTTGAATAAATCTGATCATAAAGAAAGTGAGTCCCTGTCTAATAAGGGGCCTTTTCCAAATGGCTCCTGTCTGTCTGTCAGCTGGAGGATGACTGGTGCTCCCCTCCCTCCTTCCCCGTGTGTGTGTGTGTGTGTGTGTGTGTGTGTGTGTGTGTGTGTGTGTGTGTGTGTGTGTGTGCGTGTGTGTGTGTGTGTGCGTGTGTGTGTGCGTGTGTGTGTACCTCTAATTGTCCTCACCTGCAGCCAATCAAGATCCTGTCTACTTTAGACCTGCTCACCTGCGAGACTCTGCCAGATTGTTTTTGTCCTGCGCACGGTGAACCTCTTTCTTTAGCCTGTATATTCAAAGGTTAAATCAGCTCTTTGGTCTTCCTTTTAATTTCTTGACAACTGAAAATCTGTGAGTAAAAGTACAGTTACACAGCAAAACATCTACTCAGTTACAAGTACTACTGCGAAACTTGTGCTTGAGTAAAAGTATAAAGTATGTGTATAAAAATTACTAACTACAAAAGTGACTAGCATTTTATACAAGGCTTTGTATATAAAACCTGAAACTGACTTAAATTTCTTTAATTCAGTCTTGCCTACACTTGCTTGATTTCTGTGGTTTTCTTGGTTAAATGTTATGTGGTTACCATTCTCCTTCAGTTTATACATTTACTTTCACGAACAGACTCTGAATGATGTTTTATTTCATTCAAACATGTTTAACACACAAACCCCTGCAGATTTAGACTGAGTTCTTCTCAAACTGAAAACACTCTGTTCCACTTTGTGATGTCATGTTGCAAAACTGGAATCACTCCACTGTGTGTTTATTTTACTCTGTACACCTTCACTAAAACCATTTGGATGATTTCAGCCCTGGAATTTCCAGTCTCTACTGTACTAGAGGTAAAAAGTAGCTGGGGACTACCACTTCATGACATCACAAGGTGGAACAGAGCATTTTGAGGTTTGGAGATGTAGGCAGACTAATAATAAAGGATTACTCAGACATGTGTGAATGAAACCAATCAACAAATAAACTCCAGGCATATAATTCTAACAAGGCTTAAAGCTCACAAGAGTCTGAAGTGTAACATAGGACCTTTAAATGATGCAGCAGTGATGAGAAAGCAGAGGACCAAATACAGGGACTAGCGCAGTGGTGACTGGGGACGTTGTGTGTGTGTTCTGGCATGTTGTACTTGGCAATTTTGCAGGATTGAATTGTGAATGAAGCTTCAGAGATAGGATGAGGAGCTCAGTAACCCCTGTGTGGCTACATCAAGATAACAGCTCTTCCCCTCTCTTCTTGTTGTCAGTGCGCCATGGACCCTTCATCCGAGTCCTTTTATGATGGGGACGTGTTACAGAAATCTTTCCAGTTGTTTCTGAATCGCAGCGATGAAATCAAGGTCACGAAAGATTTATTTCAAAAGATCCTGCCCAACATCCAGCTCAAGTATATTCTGCATTCATTAATTTCTGTATAACTTAAAGTGCACATAACAGGTTTTCATCTTTTGCTTTTGCATCTTTTACTTTGCTGTGCCATCACGCTGAGAGTGTTCTATATGTAGGTAGTGTAGTGTCTATGTTTATCATGGAATATTCAGAAGTTACCATGGTGACACAATACACACATTAGCACACATTAAGTCTGAGAACTCAAGAAAAAACAAACTAAATGGATTTAAACAGCACATTTTCAGGAGCCTGTGATCAATACAGGTGTTCATGGTCCTGTTTAGGTGTTTGATTTTCAGCAAAAAGGAGAGAGTGACTAACTGAAAAACTGTTGGCTAACCCCCAATTTACACCAAAGTGCACGTTTGGATTTCCATTTTAAAGGGACAGTTTGGAATTTTGGACATAGGACTTCATTTCCTAGTGAGCCAGAGTATTGGAGACGTGTGGAGACGCTTTTTTAAAATATTCCATCCAGTCCTTGTATTTGCAGAGGTCGCTGGTGCTAGGCTAGTGCATGTCAATGGCCATAGTTAGCCTGCTACTAAAAACAGTCTTACCCACTCCACAAAACACACAAAGCAAATCTATTATTACACTAGACTAGACTACTGATGTACATGTCTATGTTGAGAATAATGTTTGAAATAAAACTAACCTTGCATCAAATGAATCGTCGCATGTTGAGGGACTATTTTCTCATATATCAATCCGCTGCCGCCAAGCTTTCTAACAGGAAGTACAACTCACTGCTGCTGCTCAGACAGAAATCCTTCAAATACAAGGTTGGTTTTAGTTCAACACAGACATTCACAAGGACAGTCCAGTGTTATAACTGTTTTGCTTCGGGTGTTCCAGCAGTGTCATATGTGCATCCAGTGGAAGTCGTTACACTACATGCTGCCCAAATTAGGTTGGAGTTGTAATTTTTCAGCGTCAACGGAGCGTTTCCAGGCTTTTTATCAGAGGAAAGACAGGAAATGGGCACGCGGTGTCAAAATAAATTTCCAATGCTCTTTCAAAATATGTACTGCAGAACCACTACAGTCATGTAAACGCCGTCACAGTGCACCAAGTGCACCACAGTGCACAGTCGCCAGCTGCATCCTTAGACTGCAGGTGACAAGCCACCGGAACTGAGAGGGGCATGGGCCAAAAAGCCATTTTCCCCCAAGGTGACGCCAGGAATCCAACAGGTCAACTTGCCAGCAGGAGGATGTCCCACCTCCCCTGCG